ACAGGTGCTCCAGCGACTGAGCCAGCCAGGCGCCCCTGCTTTGTTTATTAACTGTGGTAAAATATATACATCACTCAAAAGTTACCATTTCAGCCATTTGTAAGTATATGGTCCTGTGGCATTAAGTGCATTCCCATTGCTGTACAGCCATCACCATCCGTGCCCAGAACTTTTCCCTCTTGCAAAACTGAAACCCTGTCCCCGTTAAACACTCACTGCCCATCCTCCTCTTAGCCCAGCCCCTGGCCAGCTCTGCTCTACTTTGTCTCTATAAACTTGACTCTTCCGGGGACCTCAAGTAAGTAGAATGGTGCAGTCTTTGTGCTTTTGTGTCTGGTTTATTTCACTTAGCATAACATCCTCCAGGGTCATCCAGTCACTGTGTCCTTGCCAGCTCTGACAGTCCACTTGCCAGGGTAACTTCTCAATCAACTCCTTTATGGGGAGGGAAAAAGTGGAAGTGCTTGGTGCTTGTTAACTGCTGTGCACGTGGAGGAGGAGGGAGAGGGAGTTTCTCCAGGGAGAGCCGGAGAGTAATTTTCCATGGCCGGAACAGATGAAAACATCATTACGTTTTGTGTATTTCCAATCAGTTGTCCTCTTGAACTTGAAAAGGTAGTGGGACTATTTGGATGCCTAAGTTTAGGGTGCATATCAAAACTTCAGAGAACTGGGGGGGGATAGAAAAAGCTGGAATTCAGTCGTGTCCCCCCCACGCTGTTCAGGAGGACACTGGGAACTGGGAGTTAATTGCTATACTGACCTGTGCTGTTTTTTTTTTTCTCCTGACTGAGTTTCTCTCCAAAACAAAGAGAGCCATTATCTGCTCTGTCATCTCTCCCTACACCTAGCAGAGCCTTAGGCATACAGTGAAATTGGTGGGAGGTGAGGTAGGCACACAACAGAACACATGAAGAAGGGCTTTTTCAACATCTCATTTCCAGTGCCAAGTGCAGAATGGGGTGGGTGAGTGAGTGGGCCAGAGATAATGGGTTTTGGCCTTGTCTCAGATCAGACAAAGGATCAAAGAGTAAGATTTTAGTTTCTGTACCAGTACCACAGCTCTCAAATCTGTTTTGCATCTGGTAAAAGCAACAAAATCCCCATTTCACCATGAGGCTGTAGTGACTTACAAGAAAGATCTTTTTACAGCCCGTGCCCAGGCCCTTGAGACCGATTCCTTGCTGGAGCAGAAGATCTTAGAAATCTTGGAGAGCTATGACTGTGTAAGCCATTTTGTACCCAGAGCTGATTATATGATTAAACATTTTGTTGCTCCCCGGTGCAGAAGAGGCTGTCGACGCCATCAACTGTTCCAGAAACGCACACCCCAGGGAGGAGTTACCCAGTCCTGTTTTCTCTTTACAGAAGATTGCAGGAAATGCCTCTTAGCTCCTACGTTTTTCCTCCAGATTCTACAAAGCTGCTTCTGGGGTGTGGCCATTTTTCTTTTCTCTGCACTCCGATGGGTTGAGGGAATAGGAGAATATTTCCTTAGAAAAGGGCAGCTTAGAAACCAGATGGCGGATCCCAGGCACAGGGGAAGAAGGCCAGACTGCAGAGGACCAGGAAGCCCAGGGCTGGGCCTGGGCCCAAGTTCTGGTACAGTGCCCAGGGCTGCTTGGTAACCAGGAGGCTGAGGCCTTCCGAGCTGCAGAGCTCCTGGTCTGCCTGACTGCACAGGAATGATCTGGGTGTTACTCCCAGTGGCTGTGGCCCAGCTGTCACAGAAGCGGGGGTGGGGAAAGGGCTTCCCAACAGAGGGCTTTGGGCTCCACTAGAGTTTAGAGCCAGGCTCTTAAACTGCTAAGACTGTAAGTAACAGAAACTCCAGAAATCCTCTTTCCCCCCACCCCAGCACCCTAGCATCCACCATTGCAGTGCCTCCCTTTCCTAGGGGAAGACAGCAGAACATACTGTTTAAGAGAAGGTTCTGACTGCTTGGATCCAAATCCTAGCTTTTCTTCTTCTTCTTTTTTTTTTTTTCTAATCCAAGCTTTTCTTCTTGCTAGCTGCCTAACCTAGGCAAGAGACCTAGCTTCCATGTCAGAGTGCTCATTTCTAAAATGGGGGAATAATACATACCTCGTAAAATTATTGCACAGATTTTTTAAAAAAAGGTAACACATGAAATGCTTAGCAAAGCGCCTGGTACATAGGAAAGTTCAACTAATTGTGGCCTGAAGAACTTTAACGTCTTGTTTATAAAATACAACTAATGCATCCTATTTCACTGGCGACCTGTCAGAAAGCTTTTGCTATAAGGATATAAAAAATTATTAACTCTCCAAATCCCAAACGACAGACTTCAACTCCAAATTAGTCTTTATTCTTGGGGGATCAGATACGGCCTTTTCTTACCACCACCTCAAACCTGGAGCCCAAATCATCCTCGGTTTCTAGGCCCCAGCCCCCACCAGA